CAAGACTGATATTTAAATCGGCATTAAGTAATTGAATTACATTCAAATTCCAGGGAATTAGTAGTAATAGCGTTTCAATAAAATTTCTGTGCGTTTAAAATCAACTATATACAAATGCACGTTTTCACATTGAACACGAGTGGGTTTCTTTCAATTTTAAGAACAATACGAATATAATCTCTCGTGGCAGAAATATCCCGTGGAAACTTCGTTCCATCTCGTAGACGAAGACACGCTTCGCTTTCAAAAGCGAAATACTTCATTCGTCCAATTACCAAGAGTATTTCTCCGAACTAATCGCTTTGTTCTCTTCTTTAGTACGCAGAACTGTTCCTATTCTCATTCCGCTATATACAGGGTGGACTGCATAAACGAGAGTACCTAAATATCCCAAGGTTGTTTCTGAAAGACTTCGACATCATCAGTGCGCCATTATACCAGCAACAAAACATCATCTATTTATAACAATCGCCAACTCTTGGACTTTGAATTAAAGCGAAAGACCAAGATCGATCAAAGTTTTTTTCCTTTGATTTCCTCCCGGGAGGAAACGAAAATTCCTGTCTGTCTGACACTTGGAATTAGTAAAAAGTCTGAAAGTGAATGAATGAGGAGCATGAGGAACAAATTAAGAAACACGTTTGATATATTTATTCAATATATTGTAGCACGTTGTATTCTCCAAAGCTCTAATATTTGAGATTATTTATGTTCTTATTATTATACTCTAATTATACTATATTTATACTGTATACTATATACTATATACTATATTATACTATATGCTATATGTTATAGTATAATATAATAATAGTATAGTATACTATAGTGTAATAATAGTAAAATAATATAATAATAGTATAATATACTATAATATAATAATAGTATAATATACTATAATATAATAATAGTATAATAATATAATAATAGTATAGTATACTATATAGTAGAGTATAGTATACCAGAGTGTAGTAGATTATAGTATACTATATAAATACTAATAAGTATAGTATACCATATAAATACTAATAATACTAATATGAATCTTGTATACTATATAAATACTAATAATAGTATAATAATATAATAATAGTATAGTATACTATAGAGTAGAGTATAGTATACCAGAGTGCAGTAGAGTATAGTATACTATATAGTATACTATATACTATATTTATACCATATGCTGTAATTATTATGCTCGTTTCTACAATTGTTCCATAATTTTACAACTATAGAATCTAAAATAGAATCTGGATATATATAGAATTTTAAAGAGGGAAAATCATCCTGAGTAATCCGGGAATAAATAAAATTGTATGGCAAGATAGATGACATTTATCAGTATGTTTCATAAGAGACATTTCAATTCTTTAAAGATAATCACGACTTTATTTTTAAATTTAAATATTAGAAAATGACGGAGTTGTTGTTTCATCGAAATTTCACCTGCTGGTCAGCATCTAAAGTAAAAACACTCTCATTAACAGTTTAAAATTAAAGATGCGTCATTTAAAACATAATGCATCACTGCGTCACTTCGGGAAGGCTGGAGTATTAAATGCACGATTATGTCACAGTTTAACAAGAACAATAAGAAAGTATCTTCAGTAGGATAAAAATATCTTTAATAAAATGTCTTTAAGAAGAAATATCTTTAACGAGGTAATAATGATATCAGATAATGAATGACAATACGAAACATGTATCAGATTACACAAGCAACTGTATAATAATGGATGGATGTCAAAGAAACTTGAAGTACTTGTTCATAAAAACATGACGTACTGTTGCCCGGGTCTTTTAATGGGTTCGAACGAAGAAAGCGAAAGAGAAAGAAGAAGAAGAAGAAGAAGAAGAAAAAGAAAGAAATAGAAGGAAATAAAGGATCCTCTTCGAAAAGATTCCATTCATGAGGAGAGAAGCTTGACGTTGAGGCATCGATCAATTTAGCCCCCGATGAGTTCTATCTTCGACGCGAAGCCGGCTATAATGAAACGAAAGAGGAAAAGTAGGAGTCACTCACGATCTCTTCATTGAAACGAGAGTTATCCAATCTCACGGCCTTCGCTTGCATCGTTTGCCACCGATACTCGAAGGATAACGCCGATCTAAGAAACGAACTGTACGCCTACTCTTGCGCTGTTATACCCTGACGTGGCACCATGTTTCTTTCTCATCGTGAATTAAAAGCAAATGTCGCGCGTATCTTTTAGCTCGGGTCAGGTTAGGTCAGGTGTGTTTAACACTATACTTTTCTCGATTTTTCCAAGGGAATAGTTTCGAAGTGATTTTGTTAATCAATGTATTAGTGATTTTATTAATTTTTATATGTTAATTAAATGTATCATATTAATATTAATTTTCATATTGATACTAATGTCGCAATATTAATATTAATTTTAAAATTAGTACTAATATTACAATATTAATATTAATTTTAGATGGAGGTTAGTTTGATGTTACAATACAAATTAATAATATTACAATACTATTATTACAATATTAATATTAATTATAGGTTAAGCTAGGTGGAGATTAGTTTGATGTTACAATACAAATTAATAATATTACAATACTAATATAATACTATTATTACAGTACTAATATTGATTTTAATATTAATACTATTATTACAATATTAATATTGATTTTAGGTTAAGCTAGGTGCAGGTTAGTTTGATGTTACAATACAAATTAATAATATTACAATACTAATATAATACTAATATCACAGTACTAATATTAATTTTAATATTACTACTATTATTACAATATTAATATTAATTTTAATAGTACTAATATTACAATATTAATATTAATTTTAGGTTAAGCTAGTTGGAGGTTAGTTTGATGTTACAATACAAATTAATAATATTACAATACTAATATAATACTAATATTACAGTACTAATATTGATTTTAATATTAATACTATTATTACAATATTAATATTAATTTTAATATTAATACTAATATTATAATATTAATATTAATTTTGTAATATTAATACTAATATTACAATACTAATATTAATTTTAATATTAATCGATTCACGGTACCTCTCAATTAATATTAAAGTTAATATTATTATTATAATATTAGTATTAATATTAAAATTAATATTAGTATTAATTAATATTGTAACATCGAACTAACCTCCACCTAGCTTAACCTAAAATTAATATTAATATTGTAATACTAGTATTAATATTAAAATTAATATTAATATAATGATACATTTAATTAACATATAGTAATTAATAAAATTTCCAATATATTAATTAAAACAAAATCACTCCGAGAGTAATTTTAATTAATATTACAATACTAATATTAATTTCAGTTTAGGCTAGGTTAGGTTTACCCAGTTTGTCCACGAAGAGTAAAACAATTGCGAGATATTTGTCAAATAAAAATCAAAAAATTTTTCGACTGAAAATTCGTGCCATTAACCCCTTTGGCGCTGGCAACTACGGTTCGCGGACCATAACGAGTGACCAAACCGTCATACAATATAACTAGTCTTCTTTTTGAATTCATCGGTATATATCACTGGCTAAAAATTACTAAGAAGTAACAAACTTATCATTTGTTTCGCCCGGGTTACACTTAAATGTACTTAAGACTGAGAAAACGTTGGAATTTTCAGATAAAAAAAAATTCTCGACTTGCGTGGCCCGTCAAGAGGTTTAATATACACGAAGAATTTCAATACCGTGAATTTCAAACTGCAACTTTCTCGAGGCTTTCAAATAAAATTTTTCACGAACTAACGATTGGTCCAGGAATTGATCCACCTTGTGTTCATCGCCCATTTCGTTTGCCGAAACGCCGTCGCGGAACATCGGATTGAAAATTAATCAGGCAAGAAGTTAAGAACGCTCGCCTGTCTGGTGTAACAGACGCGCGTAACGTGGTGGACGCATAGTCGCGAAAAGCCACGGCGAGTGGTCAGTTTCGCCGAGTTTTGTCGCTGCCTTTCAGGGGGAGAGCTCTCGTGAGGGTGAAGTCACGCTTGCGCAACCCGCGTGTCAGTTTCCAGCGAGGCTAGAATGACGCGCAACAACCGTGCGAGCTTCAGTTATCGCCAGGTACCCGCCGCAACAAAACTCGCTCGCCGTTTCGCCGATCGTTCGGGGAAACACGTTCGTGACAACGACGATAAAACAACCCCGTGCCGTGTCGTATTTCTTTCTCGAGCTCGAGGACTCGACCGGAGAGAAATCGGGAGAACGGCGCGCAGGATTTCGCAGAGCCGGAGAAATCTTCTGTCCACGTGAGAAAAGTATCGTGAGGTGTCCGACTCGTGGAGTCGTTGACTGCTACGAAGAGATCGTCCCCTGAATTTTGTTTTGTTTTCGTCGCACGACGAACACCATTTCCAGTTTTCCCGCGAGCCTTTCGCTCTTTCGGTCAATAATTGATGTAATTTCGAATCGATGCGAGTTTTTTCTACTTGTTCTCAGTTTCAGTCTTTCGTCATTATCTGATTATCGGTGTTCCTCGCAATTTCTGGAATATTTCTTCTCTGTCTGAGATTCTAACGGAAGTATCGCTGATTGCCAGTCGATCCGAAGGGAGGCGTTGGTCTTTTTTTTTTTTTTTTTTTTTTGAAATTCACCTGTCTCTGTCTTCCAGAGATTTTTTACAATTCGAGCTCAAGATCAGAATTCTCATGAATTTCCTCTAAAATCTCCCTGAAATCCGGGGATCTTACTGTGTACGCGAAATTTCCGTAATTTAACGAAGTTGTAAATATCGTCCAGTCGAATCGAAACGAGTTTTCGAAGCAAGAATCACCAATTGTAAAAGCAATTCGAAGACAGAAACGGAATCTTTGATCTTTCATTTCGAAATTGAAATTCCTGTTCGCGAAGGCGTCGTTGAAAGACAGAGACGTTGATATTCACGAATTTCTCGTCGTTTGAAAACGTGAGAAATTTTCTTTTGGAAGTTTGGAATTTCATTCCTCACTTTTTTTTTTCTTTTTTTTTTTTGTGAGAAGTTGGTGGTTGATTTTTGTGAGAACGAAACTCCGGCAAAACTGGACGAAAGATGGGAGGGACTGTTTGAAAAGTGACGCGTGATAAGTTGCTGCTGCGTGATTAGAGCGATCTCTCTCGAGGGATTTGCGGTGCTTATATGGCAGCGTCAACAGTATCGGGACATCATGAAGCCGTCAAGAAAAGTTCCGCGGAGCTTCTTGATCGAATTTCCATGAACAGTTGCCCGCCGAGCAGTTTCCCAGACAAGTTCCAAGACTTCTTCGCCGCCCTTAACGAAGACTCTGACGACCTGCCCAGCATGCTCGAGGACAAGTTGATACCCAGGTGAGAATCTGAATATTTTCTTTTTTCAAGTTTAACAGGTATAGTATTAAAAAGTAAAAATTTGACTATTTATAATAATAGTATAAAAAATATTGTAAAAATATATATATATATATATATAAAAATTCGTGTATTTATTATAAAAATTGTAAGTGGAACTTCATTTATCTTGAGTCAAATTTTAAGTGAACCAGAAGCCTCTGCCAGTGTTCAATTATACAAGCACAAATTGTGCAAACTGTTACTTTTCCCGTATAAATGATGTTCTACTGTAGGTGGAAATAAAAAGAATTAAAGGAAGGAATTGTCACGTGTATGTAAATGGGGGATTATTTGGTCGATAGAAAAAAGTTTTGAGATTAGAAGATATTAAAAACGTACGTAATATGTACATTGTATAAAAGAAGAAATTCTGTGCTGGAATCGTACGTATGTAAATTGATGTACAAAAGTAGCTCAACAGAAAAGTTAGATTCGATCAATTTTAGATTAAAAATGTCGAAGACACGAAAAAACATTGAAATCTTACGGTGCATGTCTAAGAGAAAAAAAATTTCAATCTCAGAATCGATGCACAAAGATGAAAATATTTGATCGATAGAGAAGGACTTTGTAAATTAGATTCGGATGTTCGATTTTTAACAATTTATATTTTACTAAATCTCAAGTTGAAGAAAATCTTTAATTTTGGATAGATAGAAAGTAGAAAGATAGAAACGTCGTCTCTCTCGATGGAGAATGATTTTGATAATTAACGCAACAACAATAACGATTGCAATCAAACTGTGGATGCTCGTTTATAAAATTTTCGAACACAGAAAATTAAATTTTATCAAATTTTCGCAAGGAAGATTAAATTTTATTGAAAAAGAATTCATCGAATGAGACGATTTTAGTTAGATTTTCTTCTCAAATAATTTGAAATAAATAAATATACGGGACGTGACGTGTCTTTCGTTTCCTCTGGATGCTAAATTACAGTACAGTTTCGAATTTTGTCGCAGACGTTCTTCAAATTCGATATACGTAATTGACGTGATTGATAATTAAGGACGGGATGACATTTAATTGACGGTATCGCGTCGTTAAATTCAAATTTCGATAAATCGACGTTCCACGTGCACATAGAGTTTCGAGAATCGAGTTCCGAAATTCTCCGTATGTACTCGCCACAGTTTTAATTAAAGTATTCAATATTATTCAATATTTAGTACAATTACGACGCATTTCTCTTTTTTTTTTTTTTTTTTGTTCTTTAGCATTGTGAAGTATTTGAAACTTAATTCAATCTGTTTGCCACATAATTTGAATTTGAATTTCAATTCAATCTGTTTGAAATTCAATTTTAAACAATTTAAATTCCAGAGAGGAAACGAGGATTTTACAGGCACTGATTTATTTGTTAATCGAACGACGATGTTTCTTATAATTTGCTCACCATGGAAACATAAATGAGTTCGAAGAGAATTCTACCGTATAGCAATTTAATTTAACATTTTAATATTGCATACAATTATTTATTTATTTGTATTATTTATTATTTAGTACCGCGTAATTTCAATTTACTATACAGTTGTCATTGATACGTCAAAAAAATATACAAAATGTTCTTTCATTTCTATTATAATTAGAATATAAGTATAGAAGATAATTAGAATATAAGAATATAAGTTTCATTAGCGTCGCTATAAATAATAAAATTGTACATTTCTGTAAGATCTATTTACATATTAGTTTTTTTAAGCAAATACTGTCGATATTTTAGAACAAAATCAGGAATTCATATAAAATGTTCTCCAGGACTCTTTATTTTTCGAATATTTTCGACAGTTTGAAATTTTAACAATTTAAATTACAACAAAGTTAATAAAATTAAATATATATATTTAATAAAAAATAAAATTAAATATATATATTTAATAAAAAATAAATTTAGTTAATAAAATTAAATATATATATATATTAATAAAAAAATATAAATATAAATAAAAATTATATTTAATTAAAATAAATATTTTATTAATATTTACTTATATAAATATAAATAAATATTAATAAAAAATAAATTTAGTTAATAAAATTAAATATATATATATATATATATATATATATATATATATACATATTTAATAAAATTTTAATCAAAATTATATAATTTTTTGGAAACAACATAATCTAAATACAGATATCTCTATCAACTCTACCTATTTATTAAACATCTGGCATCATGTTCGTACGTTAATGTTAAACTTGTACACGTGCGTCTCTTCCGAATTGTCACGATACATTCGCCGTGACATAATACATTAACGAAGGAAGAAAAGAAATATCGCACGCGACGACAAAGAAAAATCTCCAGAACGTAGGGAAATCGTAGAGGGATATAAAGTTTTATTTTCTCTTTCGCAAAACATATACGAGTCGAGGCTTTGCATCCGTGTATCATGAATCATATCTGTCATATCCCACGTATGTTGCCCGACATTCGTACATTTTTCAATCGTTTTTTGTTGCATCTTGCAATTTTCATTGGCTTTAAAGGGCTTTCAAACGGCACCAACAAAAGATATGTCAGTTGGCATCGAATAAATAAATCTCAACTCGATTGCAATTGTACATAGGTATCAGAAGCTGTAAATTTAATAATTTACTGCACTTTCTGAAAATTAACAAATAAATCTAATCAATGAATCGATATTTGGTGATATTTAAGTATTAAATTTTAATGACTAATTGATGTTATTAAGTACAATGGACCTTCTCATTGAGCAACCAATTTTTGTTTAGTTTCGATGTAAATTTATAAATTTTAAAATATTTTAATAAAATCACGATTTTTACGATTCAAATAAACTCGCGAACAATATATTCATTGGAGAATTCCCCGACGAATAAAAAAAATATATATATATAAACGCGCGTAATTATTAATATTAATTCATCGCCGACGGCCCGTGTTTGAATATTCCGCTTAATTAAATACACCAGCAACAGTGGATTTTTTTTTTTTTTTATTTATTTATCACAATCCTGGTAATTTCGAGCGTGATTCGATACTTACGAAATCCAAGGCGGATTATATTCATATATCCAATGTCGTGTGAATGATTGCGGAATATTCCATCCGATTAATTAAGCTTGTGCAATTTCTTTCTTTAACATTCAACTGCGAACGCATTTTTAATAACGATAGAGCAAATTTCTAGATAGGCTAAATTTACATTTGAGCTGGATTTCAGTCGATTTAAAGGGAAAAAAAAAAAAAAGGGGAAACAGAGTTCTGAACGTGTTCAGTTGAGAATTGGCGACACTTCGCTATCCACGCGAAAATATTTTTTACTCGCGTTCCCATGCGTGAAACAACCATTCGTTAATCATTCACTCTTGCTCGCTTTGAAATTCCGCCGTTCAAATTTTTAGTTACTTCGTAGCTTGCAACATGAAACTGTGAATCTCGACAAAGGAAAACATTTGCCAGGGCATTTCCAATTGTAAATTGCAAATCCATAATAGAATATTCGCAAATGGATTCGTTTGTATAAATTAATACAAATTATTTATACAATTGAATATGATTATTTAATCACATGAATTATTTGTACAATTAAATGACATTATATAAATTATTTAATCCGAATGTATATGAAGATATTTTTGTAAATAAATAATTACCAAGCAGATCAAACAGAAATCTAAACCAGTAAATTTAAATTTAAGTCGGTGCACAAATACGCTTTGTTATAAAGAGAAAGAGAAAGAGAGAGAGAATTTTTCTCGACGGAATTGTAAGACTTTCGACAACAATGAATCTCTGAACTAACGAACTTCGTAATTACTGTTGACAGAAAGGGAAAAAGAGACATCAGGCACGTGACTCCGAATATTCGTAAATTTCTCACGGCATTGAATAATAACACGCGTGTATTTTCTTCATTTATTTAAATTTCGACACAGTTAAGGACACAGTTAAAATTAGATAGACAAAGGATCAGGTTTAAGTTCCTGCGTATTCTCACGTATTTCTCCGCGATGTGTAAGAATTATTCACAAAACTGGAATTAAAGTGTTTGTAAGATAGAAATTTGGAGAGATAAATAGGGGAAAATTTAAATGTAACTTAAATAATATATAATATATCGTAATATTAGACATTCAGTATTAGTATTACAATATAATAATAAATTAATAATTATAATATAATATTAATAATTATATAATATTAAATAATAATTAGTATTACAATATAATATTAATAATAATTAGTATTAATAATAAAATATAATTAAGTAGTTATAATTAAATATAATAATATAATATTAATAATTATATAATATTAAATAATAATTAGTATTACAATATAGTATTAAATATTATTTATGATATTATTATTATGGTATTAATTAATTACAATGCAAAAATTATAACAATATTATTATTAATAATATCAGAAAATTTGAAATGTTATATTTTTAAATTTGAAAATTACACATTTTAATTTAAATATGTTTTAAGTCAATTATTGAATTTTCTTTCGTAATAAATACTCGTTTATCAGTTGCTCACGATGCATTTCTAAAAACATTCCTATTATTTTTTTTTTATGTAAAATATTCTGAAATTTCTTTAACATTCTTTAACTGACCTAACCATTAAATAAGTCTAAAAATGTGTATATATAAAAGTTACTAGATATTAATACAAATATATACTATACTATTACATCTGAATCTATATATATATATATATATATAAGTTACCAGATATTAATACAATATATATACTATACTATTACAAAAGTATTTGAACAATTACGATCAATATTGGCTCGATGTAATTAAGCATCAATTAAAATTGATACAAATGACAATAAAACGACGTAATTTCATTTTTTCAATTATCTCGTTATCTTTAACTTGTTACGCCAATTTCGAAACTCAAAGGAAGAAACATTTTCATGTGTCTTGCATAACGAAAGTGAGAGAAGAACACCCTTTGCACGA